TCGGAAACAGACAAAACTGTGCTTCCATCATATGAAAAGAAGCATACATGCAATGGTGCCACTGATGATATATGCATACATGTTGGCAATTCGCTTCATTAGCATAGAGGCTGAGAGTGTGTTTCTGCGATAAAGGTGAGCTATGTGGTGTCCATGTTTCTGTCCTGGAAGAAAGTGAGTACATTTATTTCTTTTGTACTTTGAAGAGGGCATTTTCGTGACAGTGCTAGCATGTGAGGGTGGTAAAGTGAGAAATCAGCCTTGAAAAATATAGTACAATATGCTTTTAAATGGGAAAGTTAAGGGAGTCCACCTCAAAGTTAATGGCTTTGCTCTTAAAACAGTAGTAGTAGCAATCCAGGCAATCCCGAAAATTATCGTGACTAGAGGAATGCAGCACGATTTTTTAAGAATATATATATTCACTGCTTTCCTGTAATAGCATTACCCCTTTTCTAGTACACCTCTCAGTGGATTTAGCTCCACAAAATACCTCTAACTTTGCAGTAATATTAAATGGTTTCTTTCATAATTTACAAATGTTTACTTGATTCTGGCGTATCCTGATTAACGAATTAAGAAATAAAAAATTGTGTTGAAGATCCATTAACATGGAAAAGCTACCTGCCAAGCGGTAAGAATAATATTTTACAATGCGAAAATCCAAAACAGTTTCCCTTTTAGAGTAAATTGTAAAAGGTCGTAGGAAATGATCTCATTGAACGACCTCTCTAAGGATATGGCGAAGTAGATAAAACAAAATTATGTTTAACTACAGGTAAAATTAAACAATCAAAGCACTTTTAAAAATTTTCTAAGTTTCTTCCATGTTTCACTGTAATATGTCTGTTCATGTAGCTCCACTGTGAAAAGGATTCATTGCAATACTTGCAGTAATAAAGCCACCTTACAAAGGCAGAAATTGGCGAGACAAGTACCACATAATAACTAAGAGTAAGGGCTTGAACTTTACAATAAATATTAGGACGTATTCAACTTACCCTCATGGACTTCAGAAATGTGAAGATTTAAACTGCCTTGGCGCAAGAAGGATGTAGAGCAATATTGGCAGGTAAATGGCGTCTTCTCTAAAATTTTGAGATCCAGAAAGTAAATGCCTTAAACACCAAAAATAATTTGTTTATTAGATAATGAAGGATCAAATTTAGGAATTTTTACTATCGAGAACCTCTATTATACAATCGCTCAGCGTGCTGCGACTCCTGAACTCTCTATGACAATGCTGGTTGACAAATAATTTCCACTTAAAACATAATTATCGGACCTAATATAAGATAATTTAAAGACCTTTTAAGGGGTGTTAGAGCAGATCTTATAAATTCCAGAGGTGTAGTAGCCTGAGTCACATCGGTTGGTGAATGATGCATTAGGACGAAAGCATCTGACCTATATACTTCATCAAACGTAAAATAACAAAAACCCGTCATTTCGATAAATCAGTTTCTGCATTCCTAGAATCCAAACACCCTCCTTTAAATAGTTCATCCTTAATAAGTTGTCCAAGTTGATCACGATTGTGTGACTCACTTTCATGGATATCCGAAAGGTATTGGTTTAGTGTGCCATGACAGGAAAAAGCTTTTCCGCACAGTGGACACTGAAATTATCTTTATTTAGGAAAGTAGTAGAACCAACAAATCTAGGTGAGGAATTCTAACTAAATTTCATGAATTGTTAAAAGGATTAGACTGAAATTTTTACCTCCTCCGCATATAATCATAAATAAAATGGCCTCATATTCTTTGTTTGCTAGAACAAATAAGGTGAAGGCAGAGTAGCATTGTAGTGCACATAACAACACAGCTGTAGCATAGGAATTTGATTTTACCCCACAGTGAGGACTCAAAATACTATATTTCTTGGATGG